GAAACTCACATTCGACCAAGTCGCGTCGCTCTGCATGATATGTTGGCCAACATGAAGAAGATCAATTAGATTTGTAAATGCTTTGCTTAATGATTCAACAGCTAGGTTGAGTTGCTTTACAATTGTATCATTAATGTATAAAACTATATTATTTTTCTGTTTTGCACTTAAAGAACATTTTTTCTCAATATTCCCGCTGTTAAATTTACTAATCTTCTGTTTTATTTCCATTTTTATTTTTCCTTCATTCGCATGGTCTTTGAACGCGTCGTATCAATGCGCCAACGGGTTGACAACATCAATAGCGACTGGTTTGCACAACATGTGAAGCGCTCAGTAGTATGGTCTGAATTTTTCACGAAAATCCTAGAGGAATGATATTCTTAGCGATCCCTTAGGGCGGACAGAACCCATTCGGCTGGCTGCTCTTGCACACAACAGGGACAAAGAGGTGCCGTGGGGTGGGGTTCACGGCTCAACTACAGCCGGCTTCAGTCACTAAACGGCCAACGAGAGGACAAGCGGCGCGGCTGATATTTTGTTCACTTGTAAAGATGTGCCTTAAGTATTCCGTATATTTGCGATTCTTTCGATGATTTACAGAAGCTTTGGGTGATATAGGTTATTATATTCACATAAAGGTTTGTACGTTGCCAAGTTAATAACGTTCGATTGCCGTTCCATACCGAAGTAGAGTGATTCAGCCTACTGCATCATCATGAATGGGTTAGTTGGCGAATCGCAGGGATTACTACCCCTAGAAGAATCCCTACCGGCTTTGTTCTCGTCAGCCCACATAAGCCAGCGAGTTATATCTACTTTTTGTGAAAATAAAGTGAAATCGAAACATCTAATATTAGTGTATCCATAACTTCTGAAATATGTGCTACCGTTTGAACAGAGTGCATTTTTTTAGAAGGTAAACAGAATTGTCTAACGGATGTGTATCGGACGGATACCCGGTGTCGTTAAACCATCGGAGAGACTCGTCACACAGTTGCAACGTGAATAAAATAGTTCTTAAAACCGACTTTCTGTTAACCTTGGCATTAACGAATGGCTCACTATTTTTTAGATAGACACGCGTCAGATTTTTTATTATATATTACATATTCACATGCTGCTATACACACTGGATCGGTTTTCGCGCCCCCGGCCCACTAAGCCTTCTATCTTCGGGGTCTGTAAATTGGTACCAGACATGTCTAGAAGGATAGCAGCACTGGCTCGATACATCGATAGGCCACCGTGAGTCACTGTAAAGGCCAGATAGGAATTCAATCACCTCCAGACGATGCTTGATGACGTCGAATGCATGGCGCATCTCTAGGGGTTGATGAACGCCGAGAGCTTTGTCTTTCTCCTTGTACATTCACAGCAGCTGGCGTTTCGACGGATTTTGCCTTCTTCGGACCCTCGGAAAGTCATATTAACCGCAATCCCGTCTGCTAAGCGCCTCCATGTGCTTAACGGAGCAGCATCCTCACAAGCCCTGTTCTCTATGAGTCTTCCGCTAAGTACTCTACACAGAGAGCAACCGTGCAAATACCTCATGGAAGGGTAATGAGCCAAACTTACTTTAAGATATCAGTCATGAATAGTGTGAAATCAGGTGTAATGACAGACGTTCCTCCCTGCTGTTCACTTTTGAATTCTTGGAATTTATCCAGAAACTCGAAGGTTCTACGCGCTGAGCTTTTAGATTTCTGTGCCTGGATGGTAACCTCTACTTCAAGGTGCTCTCCGTTGTGTCTTTGTGTCCTGTTTGTGACAACTGGGGTGTTTTGCTTAACTTTTGAACTAGTGGCTAGATGTTCTCTCATACGGGCGCAGAGTGATGAACCCGTTTCGACAATGTATTCATCCACCTCATATTTTACAAGAGATCAGGTACCCAGTAGCCGACTCATGGAATCACCTCCTCACCCGTTTGGAAAGCAAAAAAATTTTTGCTATTTTGCGTTATACGTAGAAGTTCAAGCAAACTGTTGCGAACTGGCTGGCGTCTGAGAGTTTCTCGGCGGTCTTTCAATAGCTGCTGTCGATTTCTCTGGAAAGGCCATTTTTGGGTAACGTTTTATAGTTGCTTTTATTTCGTTGGAAATAAAGAGCAGAGTAAGCGGGACTATATTTTCTCTATACGTATCGTTTGGCGGCATGTTTCTTCCTCTAAACCTGTTTCTAGACGTTACCGTTTCGTATCCACTGGTAATGCTTATTTGCCGCGCTATTTGAAGAATTCGTTTTCGGGGGATAAATAAGATAGTTAGTTATTATAAGCCTTTACAGGTCGATGGAGCAAACGATTTTCACTTTACTTAACCAGCTGACTGCAAGAGTTCCATCAAATTCTAATAGCAAACATTTAATCTTTTCAGTTCTCTGTGGAAACTGTCTGCAGGATTCAAAATCTTACAAAAAAACTCGTTCCTTTATTTCAAATACCACGTAAGTTTATGTCATTGCTTTCTGTTTCGCGTAAGTAGTGACGGTGTTCGCTTCATATTTTTCTTCAGATACCTGCGGACCGGTCTTAGCATCAAATTACGAATTAAGCAACTAAACATGGAATCTTTCTATCGATTTTTGATGCACGCCTGTCAGCGTTACCAATCCCGTCGCAAATGCTTGCTTTAAATTGCTGTTTATCTGCTATCAATTCCTGACATCTAAGTGAACGGCGTAACGAAGTTGACCCCTGAGGCTTTGCATGTACTAATTTCAAACTTTAATATAGTGTGATAGCGCGTTAGTAGTGATGTGGTATGTCGCGAGAATGGTACTCATTTGAGCTCGATCCAGGGTCATCAAACCAGCTTTCGTTCCGCAGCCGAGAAATTGTCCGAGGAAAATTCGCTCTTTCCAATCCGAGTAGGAACGCTCCTAGGTCGGATATCTCAGTACTCCTGAGAAAAGCAACTAGAGCAGTATTCAACGACATTCGTAAAGAAGGTCAGGAATCCTCTAGTAACCGAATCCACACGCAAGATTTTTGGAAGACCATCTTAGATGATGGGTGGAAGGAAACGAATGAAAGAAGTTCTAGGGTCCACATAGTAAATGTGAAGATAAGTTCTACAAAATATGATAAAATATTGAAAAAAATAGTTTCAAATTTCAGTAGGCTGGTTTCCTTAGGCATGTCTTCCAACTAAAATGACCATAACAGTGCTTGATACAAAACGTCGATCGTAACTGGTCACTTCAGTTGACGATTAGATGGGCCGAGTTCTGGATAGCTGTTGTAGATTATATGGGAACCGCAATGCTCAACTACTATTCCTAGGATGTAAGTTTAACATGTGAGATTAAAACTGTGTAGTGAACAAAAAGCTTAATGGAAATCGAAACAGGAGCTTGTGACTATGCACATTAGAGCATAAACTGGAGACTTAGTAATGTGAATGCAATAACACATATTATGTTTCGCAATCATTGCTCGAAGCCTCCACAACACAGCTGCATTAATATTATTTCTAGGAAGTCTAGGATTGAAGCTGAGTAAATTGAATATGTTGTTTTGAAGTGTGAATAGTAAATAAATACATATTTGATTAAATAGTAAATTTTGAAACTCTGGAAAACAATTCAAAATGAGCATTTAATTGTTCATTATTAAAATCGGTGTCTAAACATTGTATTGAAGTGAAGCTGAAGGTGAGAGGTGAGGGAGGGATAGGTCTTAGCATCAAGTGATGCTTTGAGAAGTCTGATAACGGTTCCAAAATTGGAAATTAAATGCTCGTTTTAAATTGGTTAGGTGAGGTTTGGAGTGCTACCATTTAATTAAAAACATGTACTTAGTCAATCTGAATGCTTCAAAACAACACATTTGCTTTACTCAGTTTAACCCTTTAGTCACTAGAAATGATATAAAGCCGCCAGCGTTGACAAAACATCACTAGACCTCAACGTCGAGCATGGTATCAACTACTGCATTCACAACGGTAAGTCACCAATTTCTATGTTTCGGAGCTTCGAGAAAGTAACTCCGAGTAGTCAAGTATTAAACGGAATCAGTTATCTATTCGTTCGCTGTTGTACTGTTTTAGTACTGCAAGTTGTTGCGAAGCAGTCCCGAAGCAAAACTGTTTCAGATTCTATTTTTCGGACTCCATACGAAAGTTGAGATGGACGAGAGCCAGTCTGCTGAACTCAAACACCATAGCGGTGCTTTAGGTTGAAAAATCTTAAATAAGAAATAAAATAAAAAACAAAAAAGATAAGGAGGAACGGCTTGGTTTCGTATGCTCCATTCACCCTCAACGGAACGAATATCTCCGAATGCTCCAGTATCTATCTAGGTAGGGAAATCAGTATGATGAACGACCTAGCTCCAGACCTGAGCAGAAGAAAACGAGTGGCTTGGGGAGCTTTCGAGAGCATCGAGAATGTAGTGATGAGAACAAAGAACACCCGACTCCGTGCCCACCTTTTCGACTCAAGGGTACTTCCTGCCCTAACGTTTTCGTCAGAAACCTGTTCACTGCGTAAGCAGGATGAAAGATCACTCAGCGTTATCGAACGCACAGTCGAAAGGACGGTGCTAGGAGTATCCCGTTTCACACAAGTAAGGGATGGCATCTGAAGCTCCGATCTGCGTCAACGATCAAAAATCAAAGATGCCGTTCTGTACGCCAAACAGTCGAAGATAAGGTGTGTCGACCATGTAATGCATATGAATGGATGGACAAGAGCCGTTAGTGACTGGATTCCTTAGGGTGTCAAACGTACTGCAGGAAGACTGCCGACCCGATAGTCAGAGTTTTTCATAAAGAGCCTTGAGGAAAGATATGATTCTCGACGAGTCCCTAGAGCAAGCAGAACCCACTGGGCTACTCTTGCACGCGACAGGGAAAAATGGAAGATTTACTGACGCACGCTCGAATCACTCGACGATCAACGGAACTACAGGTGATACAGGTGATATGAAGAAGTTAAACCTCAGCAAACCAACCAAAAAATAACAGGTTTTACTAGTTTCATGTGACTTAAGAGCTATGCGTAGCGGTGAAACATAATGTTTAATACGTTGAACCTTAACATCAGCTGAATCCTTCAGGAAGTTGTAACAGGAACAACGGAATGACTGACGAAGCAAGGAACACCTTCTTAAACGAACATAATAAATTGAGGTAGTGTCTTCGGGAAACGTTAAAAAAAGCATACGCTTCAATCTATTGATTACATTGAGAGTGGCAGTATAAGTACTCAATTTAAAACAGTCCTCACATAGATTTGCAGAGTTTTTTCTTTCTTCAAAACATTTTTATTGACAGATCACTGGTGGCTAAAGGCATGGCCGAAAATCCACTCGGTTCCAACGGCTATGCACCTAAAGCAGCGCGAATGCTTAAAATGGTCAGATAGACCAGATGGCTTTCTTCTTCTTAGTTTTATTTTTCTGTGGCAATTCTGCTGTTAGAAGTCTTAGTTATCAGGTTTATGATTGCACTGTCGAACAAACCGCTTTAAATCACGCGAGACAATGCCAATTCAAACACAGCACATCAAGCGGTAATGGGGAAAACCTCTGGATGATGACTCCAACAAAGGATAATTTAACCGCGATGGCTATATTGGTGAATAACAAGATTGTATTGCCAGTAACAGTGCAATGTAGCTCTACTTCAGCGTGATCTCTTTTTTGAGGCCAGTCAATCATGGTTCAGTGAATTGAAGAAATCAGGAGTGCCTCCAGATAATCGTCTCACTATGGAACTTTGGAATCGCCCAAATAAGGTTGTAGGTCATTATACCCAGGTGAGTACATCATTTACAGTTCGAGCCTTCTATAGCAGATTAGGGTGCGACTTAATTGAAGATGGTATGGGAGGCTTCGTACAAACTTGGCTGTGGGATTGCGTTATGCCAGCGGATGACACTCGTTGTATGTCAGTATGCACCTCGGTAAGCTCTACTTTTTCAATATTTTTGGTCGTGTGCACAAAAACAGAACTGAAGTATTCTAGTGGCAATATGATAGGATCACTGATTTATAACGTCGGCGAGCCATGTAAAACCGACAGCAATTGCCAGTGCAATGGATGCACATGTAGCCGAAATGAAGCGCTCTGCATCAAACCAGCGTAGATCGTAACTGTTATTGCGAATATTTATTTGTGCGATTATTTGTCAACAAAATAAAAACGACACCAGTTTTTTTCCTCTGTACCTTACCAAAGAATTTGGCAAAAATAAACAGCACGAATATTCTGCTACGAACAGAATTCCAGTTATCTTTGGCTGAGTAGCCGAAAAGAATCACCAACTGAAACAACCTCAGATGTTCATTGACTGAGCCAAGCTACCATCGTTTGCTAGGAAGCATTTTTTCGATGGTCGTAACATATCCATTAGACTCATCGTGAAGTAAGACTTTTCAGGATCACAAACATTAATTTCACTTGCCAATAACACAATCACTGGCAGCTTCTGGGACAGAACCAATGAAAAATGACATACAAATTTCCAAATTACAAGAATGTTACCGGAAAGGAAAGCGCTAGTATTACATAATACTATAGTCGTTTAAAACAGCTGGCTTTTTGGTTAATTGGTTGCCATAACAATTTCCTGAGAGAAGTTGATTAAGAAACGAAAGTTTTTCTTCACATAGAAAAAGTGATCGCATGAGGGGCTAACAGGAACACCATCTACTATTTCCATCAACACAGCATATTATCACTGTGATGCCTAGATATGTGTAAAACTTGAATCCTCGGCCAGTTTTTTTTCATATTTATTTCCGTTTACGGTTGACTGTTGATGGTGCCGTTGGGTAGAAAACTGGCTCAAAGAAAGGCAAAGCATGGGCCTCAGCGGTGCAATATTGACACATGATCGTCCCGAAAGGGTTACCATAGGTTTCAATCTGGCCTGGGGTCCAAGTTTTGCAAATATCTTACCATCATAGTGATTATATTCCACACCATATCCTTCCATGAAAATAATAATAGGCAGTAAATAGAGGAGTAAACATTGTGATCGCATATTAAATTGGTGAAGTTTTTGCAATGTTATGAAGTCTTAGGACTGAAAGTTACTTGTCAATTTGCTGAACTGCACGATCGTTTATGTTGCTCTTTAGTTTAATAATCTAAAGATACGATGGAAGCGAGGTCCATTGGAATCTCAATGGTAGTGACGTGGTTAAAGTGGGGGTTAATAAAAAATTCTTGTTGAAGCGGATTATAACAGAGTGGTTAGAGGTGCTCGGTAATAAACACCTGGATCGGCGTTCGATTTCGGCACAGGGGCACACCTTACTTTTGGGGTTTGGAAGTTTATACAACATTTGTCTGGAAGAGTCACCTATATCACCTGTATCACCTGTATCCCCGTTGATCGTTGAGTGAGTCGAGCGGACGCCAGTAAATCTTCAATTTTTCGCTGTCGCGTGAAAGGGTGGCCCAGTGGTCTCTGCTCGCTGTAGGGAACCGTTGAGCATCATACTTTCTTCTAGACTTTTCGTTAAGAACTCTGACCACGGAGTCGGTGGTCTTTCTGCGGTGGGCTTAACATCCCGAAGAATCTACTCACTAACGGCTCTTGTCCATCGGTTGTCATTCATACGCATTATGTGTCCGGCCCACCTTATCTTCGACTGTTTGGCGTACAGAACGGAATCTTTGATTTTTGATTGTTGACGTAGGTCGGAGCATCGGTTCCTTTCCCTTACTTGTGTGACACGGTATACTCCTCGGATCTTCCTTTCGAGTGCGCGTTTTCGACTGCGCGTTTTCAATAACGTTGAGTGATCTTTCATCCTGCTTATGCAGCGACCAGGTTTCTGACGCATAAGTTAGGGCAAGAAGTAACGATGAGTCGAAAAGGTGGGCACGGAATTCGGTGCTCTTTGTTCACTTCACTGCATTTTCGATGCTCTTGAAAGCTCCCAAGCCCCTCGTCAATTCTCCTCAACAGTGGAGCTAAGTCATTCATCATGATGACTTCCTGAAGTAGATAGACGTAACTGGACCATTCAAAGGTATCCGTTCCGCTGAGCGCGAATGGGAGATACATGACCAATCTGCTCATGAACTCTGTTTTTGTGAGATTTAGTTTAAGAATAATCTTTCTACAGGCGTTATCAAGGTTGGCAAGCATTCATTCAGCTTGGCTAACTTTTGGTGTTATAAGAACATTGTCATCAGCAAAGCGAAGATGGTGTAATTTCCGACCATCGATTTTCACTTCCACCTTGTCCGATTCCAATGTTCGCATGACTTTCTAGAGGGTGGCGGTAAGTAACATTGGCGAGATGGTATCGCCTTTCCTAATCCCCTCTTGACGTTGGTTTTAATATCGTTTTAGAATGGTGATATTTTGATTCCGAAATTTTTATATAGCTTAAAAAACCTTCATATACTGAGTAGCGACTCCCTAGGTGTTCAACGCTTCTATGAATGCTTCTATCTCAATTGAGTGAAAACCTTTAAATCGATGGAAATGGGACAGAGTGGTCTCTTGTACTATCGCGATGCTTCAGTGAGCTTTTTAATAATGTGGATGCTGTCCATCCCACTTAATCCTTTTCGGAATTCTCCTTGGTTACATGGCAGTCTTTCGTCTAGTATTTTCTCAATGATGACCCGAGTGGAGTTAGTAGTGATCTTCCTATGACACATTGGTTGAAGACCGAGGGTGTACATGCGAGGGTGAAACGATCTCGTACGAGTCGTCAAAATCGTTAAGAACAACTGAAGCCTACTCCACCGACATTTCGTGACTAGGTCTTTTGCCCACGACTAAAGGGTCTCGTCGTTTAGCCGCCGTATTTTGGTCCTTTTGCTTTTGTTTCTTGTGATGATGATTTCTCATGGAATTTGATGCGATCTGCGCCGTCAAAAAAAGCGTCATGATCGGCGTCTGAAGAGAGTAATCTGCAACCACACGTGCACAGTAATTAACAATCTCCATGGCGTGTCGTGTCTGTGTTCCTCAGATCCAGCCCCGGTAACGCCTTACGTAGCCCATGATTTCTTGGCCTTTCTGCCGGTCGCCACACAAAGTCTCACCTCTGTCATCAACACTTTTAAGTAATGAATGACACGATCCCAAGTCGACAATGATCCATTTCCGTTCCATTCCTAGGCGAAGTGATTCTGTCTGCTACATCAACCTCGATTATTTGATAGACTCCCAAAAGTAGACTGAATCCCAAAAATTGATGTTTTCAAAAATCGCTGATTGACAACTTTTTCTCTGATTCTCGCATGAATACATTGCATTTTTTGGAAGAAAGAACAAAATTTTAAAACACGTGTATGCTGGAGAGGTTTGAAATTGGCGTATGGTCCATTCCTAGCTTGGTGTCCACACAAACATCTCAAATTTTTCACTTTAGATCATCATTCCGATAAAATGAGTCCTTTACTGAACATCGTAGTCGACATGCATGAATATCCCTCTCTCAACCAGAAGGGGGCGGTGAAATGATGAAGAGTCTCCAATGAATGTGGAGCAACCTTATACGAACAAGGAAGGGAATGTTGCGTAACAAACGAACTTGTTTTCCTCTTAGCAAAGTTCTATTTTTGAATGTCTGGAGCCGTTATTGTCAAAAGAAGTGTTGCACACTAGTACCGCAGTGCCATTTTACCGTATAAATTTTTTTCAGAATGGTTTTAGGCTTTATAATTTGTATTTGTATGAAGGGCACGTGTGGTGCAGTGGTTGGAGCAGCCACTGCGACACACATGTGGAATCGATCCCCGCGCCCATGGCCTATCCAGCCTTCCGTCCTTCCGGGTACCAGGCTTTTCTAGGAGGATAGCAGCACTGGCTCGATACGTCGGTAGGCCACCGCGAGTAAAAGCCAGATATGCATTCAATCACCTCCAACGACACTTAGTGAAGTCGAATGCTTGGCGCATCCTTCAAGGATTGATCAACGCTGAGAGCCTTATCCTTTTATCCTTTATCATTTGTATACGATCTTTTAAGCGCTCTACAAAATTGTGCAATATAAAACAAAGCGATAAAGCTATTTATAGGCTTTATACCAATTTCGTAGCTCTTTCACATTTAATACGCAAAATCTACTCCAATCCGTCCACAATTTTCAGCGTATCTATTGATTGAGTCTGTTTATTTTCTAATGAATCGGATCGTTGTTCACATCTTCATCAAGTCACAACAACATCAATCCGTTTGGATTTCGTAGCAGTAGATTATGAGGGCAGAGTTTTAAGACAAGCGGGCCGATCTCTGATAGATATTTGTTGTATTCGTCACTGAAATTATTTTCATTAGTTACTCCTGATTTTCGCATTAGAAAAGAAAGCAAGTGCTTAAAATAATGTAGAAATAATCAATGCAACTTTAAGAAAAGGTGAAAATTTCCCACGTTACAGTACAGAATAAAAGAGATGTAGTTTTCACTTTTGATTCTTTTCCTGCTCGGCTCTTAAGGTGGATCTGTGTCATTAGATCTAGTCTATAAAACTATTTTAAAATTCTGTAATATTAAGATGGAAGGAGAAAACACAATCACAAGACCTGCGCGACGAAGAAGGAACAGTTACCGGCAGATTAAATTAAACAGCTAACTCCGTGTGGCACGTAATTCAAAAGCAAGCCAGCCTCATGCTTCATCACTCAGAACCCAATGTAGCTGGCGATGTAAAGTTAGACCTATCATCAGTGGTATAGGCGGGCCAACGGATAGAATAACATGGTTCTTAAACCTTATCCTGTCCTCGCTGCTAAAATTCGTTCCAACATATCTACCTGACACCGAAATATTTCTAGACCATCTACGGCGCGCGCAACCAAGCAGCACGCATGTAATGGAGTCACTCGATGTTACGTCACTTTATACCAACGTGTCCAATGACTCCGCAATGCAAGCCATTTTCGAGTTGCTCGTAGAGCATGAAAAGAAAATAAAAATCTACGGCTTGTCGATTGCGCAAGCAATGGCTCTCTTAAAACAGTGTCTTAGTTGTTCAATCTTTAGGTTGTCTGGAAAATATTTTGCTCAAATTACAGGGTTGGCCTTGGGGCAGCGTTCAGCAAGCACCAGGTCTCGATCGCAGACCCTTACTCAATTCTTGATACATAGACGGCTACATCATCGTTCGCTACAC